TCCTCTCATTCACATTCAGCCAAGGCCTGGCAAACAGTCAAAGGCGAAGTTATGACCACAGACCTTATCTGGCTTGGAAAGCTGCCATGTAAATATTTTCCCAAATGAGGTGCTGTGCGAGGAAAGACTTGGCACAGAGTCTCTGAGATTCACGGACAGATCTTCACACTCCTGAAACGAACGAAGGAATGAACGAATTGTCTCCTGCAAACTCCACTCCCCTTTCGCTCCTCTTTTTTTTCCTATGCGAGGGGCCCTTCACCGTCCGCCTGTGGCCTTGCTCCCAAGTCGACCCTGATTTCTGAGCTGTTCTTGTCTTCTGGCAGCTCGGCGCATGCGCACACTGGGAACAGGCTCCAGCTGTTCCTCTGCCTCACTGCTGCCTAGTTCTGAAGACAGCTGAGAACTGTCAGATGGCCTTGGCCCTGTCTCTGCCTCCGGACGTCGAGCCCTTCTCCAAGCTTTTCCCATCCTCCAGGAATGGGCCATGTTCCTCCCCAACCTCCTCACTGTCTGACTCTGCTTCCAGCTCTGCCGGCAGCTGGTGGGCCACAACACTTGGACGAGAAGCAAAACATCTTCAAGGAAAAATAAAAATCCAGTTGCCTTTTGAAAAAGCACCTTTGGGGCCCCCTTTAATTGACCCACCATATCAGGCAGCTTTACACGGGAGCTTGAGAGGACAGACTTCATTTGTGGTGGAAACGTCCTCATTGAGCCAGCTCTACAATTCTCACACTCCTTTCTGTGATCCAGGAAGTCCTCTTTGACCCAGATTTACCCAAAATAAGTACAGGGTTTTGGTAGCTTGTTGACATAGGCCATGTGAAAGTAAGCCATTAAATTGTCTTAGAAAAGGAAATAAAATTCCCAAGGGGGAAGTCCTTGATATATGTATTTGCCCCTTCTCCCACCAAGGACTGTGCATTTCTTGCTTTCATTTCAGGTCTACAAAATGAAGCATACTTTGCCTTAGCTTAGTACGTAGCATTGGTCCCGCAGACTCGGTTATCTTGGTGTGTGTTAGGTAAGCTCCGCATTGGGAGAGCAAGCGCGTTCAGAGAAGCGTTGTGAGAGTTGTTTTGGAGATGACACAAACCAGCATACAGAGACACTGCAGTTTAAATAGGCATTTACTTTCGTGGAAATAGAGGTATCAGAGTCCATCAAACAGTCCAAGTCATACACGGATAAGACAGTCAATGTCTTTCAGTTAAGGGATAATCCAAATAACATAGTCCAGTATCATACAAACAATCTGGTACTCAAAGTTTGCTAGCAGTCGCAAAACTTACAATAGCTCACGGCACTTTCTAACAGCCAGCTTCCAAAACACTGAGATCAGATCAGCCCAGGATTTAACAAACAGAGAGCTAACAGTCATTCTGGCTCCCTCTTATGGCCGATGGAGGAAAACAGCAACCAATCACATTTTACAGTATGATTTAAAGAAACAGGTACAACATTGTTACATGATTTATATATTGCCAACCCAGCCGTTAGAATTATATTCCTAACAGTGTGTGTTTAATAACTCACAATTAAAGCATACATATCTTAAAAGCGACGGGCAAACCCAGAGGAGCAGTGGATTGGTTTAGCTCTGAATTCAGCTCAGATCATCGTTCTAATGACTGGTTGATGTGAAATGATTTGGAAACGCAAAAGTCAATTTGGAGCATACTGCATCAATTAAATTAGAATTTCTGGTTGGTTGGCTGGCTGGCTGGCTGGTTAGGCATATGCAAAGCTTCACTATGTTTTTCTAATTCAGGGCAGTCCGAGGCTGCCTTAATAGGGACATGGTGGCTCAGTGGCTATGATGCTGAACTTGTCGATCAGAAAGGTCGGCAGCTCAGCGGTTCGAATCCCTAGCGCCGCATAACGGAGTGAGCTCCTGTTACTTGTCCCAGCTTCTGCCAACCCAGCAGTTCGAAAGCGCCACTAGGGATTCGAACTGCCAAACTGCTGACCTTTCTGATCGACAAGTTCAGCGTCTTAGCCACTGAGCCACCATGTCAAGGAATCCCAGTTGGGGAAGCTCTTACCTGTCTTCATCTTCTCACATACATTCTTGAGATGATGTTTTTGGTTTGAAACAAGAGAGCTTGGGTGTTAACTTGAGTCAGCTGGGCCAACTTTAGGTGACATGAAGGACAAATCTATTTTAAGCTTTCTCGCAGTGAAATGCTGGGATCCACCTCTAGGGGGCGCCATTCTCACTTTCAAAGATTGATATAGAAACCATTTCAAGTTCTAAATTGTTTTATAAGGCTGTTTTATGGTGCTAGCCTCCTATAGTCAATTGACAGTAGGACGGGCAGCATATATACATTTAATAAATAAAATAAATCACAATAAACAACAAAAACAGTGCACTCAGTTGGGAAATCTGGTTTGAAAAAGTTAGGGTGGGAGGGATTCCCATATATTAGTGCTAAGAATGCTGTAAAAAAATATTAATAGCAATAGCAATAGCAATATAGCAATAGCAGTAGACTTATATACCGCTTCATAGGCCTTTCAGGCCTCTCTAAGCGGTTTACAGAGAGTCAGCATATTGCCCCCAACAATCTGGGTCCTAAGTCATTACATTTTGAGGGGAGAAATGCTAAAATGTTAGG